CTCACGGTATTTGACAACAATAAAGGACAGCAAAAGAAAATTCTTCACAGTAAGTAACATAAGAGAAAAAATTAAATATAAACTTATAAACCGTACATTTGTTCTAACTTAGTCGGGGGGATGTCCCACGACCTATATAGGCCTAATACAAGTTCAAGTTCACAAGTCATTAATTGTTTCATTCCTTGTCAATCTACTGTAAAAGAAACACTTAAATAGTCACACAATCAATTATTCGATGGTTACTGTATGATATAAATGTATATATTATTTCACGAATGGCATGAGAAATTCGGAATGGCGATAACTGTTACAGTCAGTTGTGAGAAAACATCTATTTATACTGCCATGACTCCCTTCCACCGCGTTATATAAAAACATGATCGGCGGCAGTGAACGGGCTGGACACATCGGTGAATAGCTAATTAAGAATCATAATTAATTCTGTTTCATTAATTGAACGAACGGCGGAGTAATTTTGTAAATACCGCTAAAATATGGCGATAACTGTTCGGTAGCCAATAGAGATTCGAATTCTGCAACGTGCATTAAATTCACCAATCCCCGGGTAACGTAACACACCACTGGATTAACTTTACTCACCTCAAGTTAAACTTAACTCTCCACTAGGTTCACTTAACTCACCACCAGGGTACGTTCCCCTCCACAAGGCTAACTGCACTCACAATAGGGTTAGTAACCTTACCAGGTACGTAAACACATTTCACCAGTGGACTAACACACTTCACCAACAGGTGTACTCATTTCACCACAAGGCTTACACACCTCACCAACAGGTGTACTCATTTCACCACAGGGCCTAAACACCTCACTAACAGGTGTACTCATTTCACCACAAGGTTTACACACCTCACCAACAGGTGTACTCATTTCACCACAAGGCGCACACACTTCATTAACAGGTGTACTCATTTCACCACAAAGCTCTCACACCTCACCTACAGGTGTACTCATTTCACCACAAGGTTTACACACCTCACCAACAGGTGTACTCATTTCACCACAAGGCCTAAGCACCTCATCAACAGGTGTACTCATTTCACCACAAGGCCTAAGCACCTCATCAACAGGTGTACTCATTTCACCACAAGGTTTACACACCTCACCAACAGGTGTACTCATTTCACCACAAGGCCTAAGCACCTCATCAACAGGTGTACTCATTTCACCACAAGGCCTAAGCACCTCATCAACAGGTGTACTCATTTTGCCACAAGGTTTACACATCTCACCAACAAGTGTACTCATTTCAACACAAGGTTTACACACCTCACCAACAGGTGTACTCATTTCACCACAAGGTTTGCACACCTCACCAACAGGTGTACTCATTTCACAACAGGTTTACACACTTCACCAACAGGTGTACTCATTTCACCACAAGGCTCACACAACTCACCAACAGGTGTACTCATTTCACCACAGGGCCTAAACACCTCACCAACAGGTGTACTCATTTCACCACAAGGTTTACACACCTCACCAACAGGTGTACTCATTTCACCACAAGGCCTAAGCACCTCATCAACAGGTGTACTCATTTTGCCACAAGGTTTACACATCTCACCAACAAGTGTACTCATTTCAACACAAGGTTTACACACCTCACCAACAGGTGTACTCATTTCACCACAAGGTTTGCACATCTCACCAACGGGTGTACCCATTTCACCACAGGTTTACACACTTCACCAACAGGTGTACTCATTTCACCACAAGGCTCACACAACTCACCAACTGGTGTTCTCATTTCACCACAGGGCCTAAACACCTCAGCAACAGGTGTACTCATTTCACCACAAGGCTCACACACCTCACCAACCGGTGTACTCATTTCACCACAGGGCCTAAACACCTCACCAACAGGTGTACTCATTTCACAACAAGGCCTAAACACCTCACCAACTGGTGTACTCATTTCACTACAAAGCTTACACATATGTTTGGGTTGGGAGTCGCATTGCTGGCATCATTACTGATCGGCCGGCGAGCTATACATGTACTGTTGATGAGCCCAAAACACATATACGTCAGTTTTAACCTCAGTTACCTCGCTCTAATATCAGTTAGAGATGATCAAATAGGAGTAAAACGTCAACCCCGAAGAAAAATAATCACGATTATCAGTCACGATTACCTGCCAAAACAGATTAGATTTAAGGCGAAGATATATATTGCCTAATAGTATGCTATTTAATAATGTTTAGATATTTTCTTTAATCAACGCGTGCTGTCTTCAAGTGACCCTAAAGATTTAGTTTCCTTGCGATAAGCGTTGCACTGCATTCTGGAAACTTAATTATACCTATAGTTGTTGGGAACGAATTCATCGTCATTGGATTGCAAGCACTGCAAAATATATTTGATTGAAAGTGCAGATGAAATTCATGTGTTCGAGGAGTTTGTTTGTTCGCCAGCCTTCTTGTTCTTGCAATGTCCACTTGGGTACAACGTGGCGCGATTCGTCGAAAAGGACGGGCTACAAGAAAGAAATCATTTTATTTTACAAACATCAGCTGAAATTATGCAAAACATAACCGTTTTCAATACGATAATAAAACTATTGCAATGGGTTAAACTTTGCTCATAAAACCACATCTGAACTTGAACGTGTACCTGTTTCAATAGTAAGCTTGTTTTGGTTTTGGTTTTTGGGGGGTTTTGGGGGGTTTTTTTTGCTTAGCTTCTTCTCATCTCCAAGATCAAAGTGATTTTAATATAAAAAGTAAATCATGTTCTCTATTCCCTCACGGATATCTGATGTCAAGTAAACTACGTTATTCTGATGTCGTGAATCTAATAAGGTATACTTCAGCCATCAACGATAATAATTGTACATGTTGTGTGCTTTGACTCGTACACAGTTTATAAGACATATCAATCTTGGGTGGCAGATCTTCAATGTCGTCGCTGAGCCATGTCGAGAAGCATCACCAAGACATGACCGTGACCGCGGGTTGCAATTCCCAGATTTCCCGGAAGCCATATTCTTGGTGTGTCAACCAGTATGTTCAACCAACTCGCATTCATTTTCCCCTTGAACCACTAGGCCACACGTTCACCACACATGGTCTCTTTATCCACGTAGCCCTTGTTTAACGACATGAGTATACTTAACCACTAATCTAACCTAGAACTGTGAGGCTGCCCATTGCACAAGACTTTCCTTTAATCTCAGGATTTACTTCTAAGACATCTCTTTAACCACACGATTTCTCTTTTAATCTCCAGATTTTCTTCTAAGAATTCCCTTCAACCAAACGTTTTCTCTTTTCAATCTCAAGATTTCCTTCAAATAGTTCCTTTTAACCACACGATGTATTTTGTATTACCAAGATTTCCTTTCAAAATAAGATTTATCTTTCAGCTAAAAGCACACCATTGTTCCCCTTAACCACAAAGCTTTCCTTTAACCAAAAGGATACCCTTTATAACCAGAAGGCTTTCAACCACAAAACAACTCATTACCACTTTTCATCCTTTAACCACTAACCTGCCTTTTGACAACTGGGATACACTTTAACCAATAGCCTACCGTTTAACTGATATCACTAATCTGTTCTTCAAACACGCTACCCTTTAACTTCCGGGCTACTCTTTAAGGACTGAGTCAAGAACAACACTGGCCTACCCCTTATCAAACAGGTTTCTGTTTAACCACTAGGCTACCCTTTAAACAGCAGGCTACTTGCTAACCACCAGGATATCCTTTAATCACAAGACTTGAAACACTAGACTTCTTAATATCGTTAAAACCACTAGACCACCGTTTAATTTAACCATTAAACTATCCTTTAACCACTGGACAGCCACTCCGTTACTTTCCTATCTTATAACCACTCACCAACCTTCGAGCAAAACGTTCCTTGAACCAAAGGCTATCTTTTAACCACAAGACTTCACTTTTACCAACACATATCCCCTCAGCCACCAGGCCATCATGTAATCTTTCAGTTAACCTTCAAGCACTTCGTTTTTCCTTAACCAGTACTCCGTTCTAAAACGTTAGGCTATCCTTTTACAAACAGGATACTGTTTAAACGTAAGACCTTCATCCTTTAACCACTGGACAGCTACACCTTCGCTTTCCTATCATAGAACCACTCACCTACCTTCGAGCAAAGTCTTCCTTTAACTGATGAGCTACACTTTGATCACGAGGCTAGACCTGTCTCTTCTTGATTCCAGGAGGTCAATATTATATTGGAAAAGTAATATTGTAAATTGTTGCAGAACAAAGTCATCGACGATGCAGGAAATGAATCTGGTAATGCTAAGCGAATGTTACACTAGTCGGATGTACAACAGATCACTGAGGTGAATAGGTGTCGGCAATAACCGAGGCAGCTTTATCAGCTTGCTGTCTTGCTGGTCTGTCACATCGATATCCCGTAAGGACCCCACGGTACACAGATGCGTGTGTACTGAATTACGGAATCACTTTCAGCTTGATAAATTGTCCAGGTTCATTCTCAGTGAGGTTTCAACCAAGACGTTTCAGAATTATACGTTCTCGGTTTAGAATGTACAATTTGTGGATCGCCACATCACTGCGAAAGAATATATATTTTTTACCCACTTCTTTCACAAAGTCGACCGGTAACACAGTTTGTCATAATACTCGGCATATACTGATTTTGAACTTCAGACCGACCAGTTGCTATACTGGAGGCGTGAGGTGATGTTTTGGGTTGTCGTTTTTTTTCCACAACATTGGTTTGTATCTGTAATATTTGTTACATGAACAAAGGAGTTGGTGTAAGAGTGTGAACATTTTTCAAACTCTGTGTAAATGAAATATGTTTAGTTGTTTCACCAATACCGCCATTTATTAACAACTATGAACGATGTTCAGAAAGAGAAGAAAGATAAGATAACATTTAGAAAGACTGAAGATTTTACATTGAATTGCTTGTGAAAGCATTGGTGTAGAAACTCCCCAAGGGACACTTCAGTTTAAAAGTTCTGTACATTAGATCAAGGCACACTGAATATGTTTGACTGTACTTTCTTGAGCTTTAAATGCTGAAACTTCATTAGATCAACACCTTTTTACGTGTGTGTGTGTGTGTGTGTGTGTGTGTGTGCGTGCGTGTGCGTCGTATTGGCACCATTGTCTCGTGATTATAATCGTCTCACAGGTTCCTTGCCAATACGTTCATGATATATCGTCTCGCCTCATTAAACTGGTATCGGGATATATCGTCTCGTCACTTAGGCGACGATACACAGCTCTATTAGCGTGGCATATAATTGATATAAGTGAAATACTGTTAAAACCCACTCGCGCTGTGAATTGGAGTCCAAAGCAAAACGAGCGTACGAAGTAAGTGAAAAGACTGACTACGAATGTTGAATGGCACACCTTTAACATTTTGCATGTATATAGTACAGTCTCTAGTTGCACATGTTGCATGTAAACCGAATAAACACACCAAGTAGAATATTATTGCGGGCATCAAAATATCTAGGTATTCACTCTTGATGAACCATTGGCCATGGTTGGTTGGTTGGTTGTTGTTTAACGCCGCACTCAGCAATATTCCAGCTATATGGCGGCGGTCTGTAAAAAATAGAATCTTGACCAGACAAGCCAGTGATCAACAGGATGAGCATCAGTTGGGATACGATTACATGTGTCAACTATGTCGTCAGCGAGCTGACCATCGATACATTGGCCATGCGAAGTCAAATGTTCTCCAACTTGAAGCTCTAACTCCAACATCGACCCATGTGAACAGGCGGACATGGATGATGTTCCTCGCATTGTTAAGAGAGGTTCAGCGGAGGTCGGGAGTGGAAGGGAGAGCCTCGAAACCGATCTGAGATCTGGAAGACCTTCAACTACCCCCACCAAGTAAAATATTGATACACTACATGACTTGTTATGGGTGATCGACGACTCACTACACGTCACATAAACAATTCTAATCAGAAAGTTGATGCCATTCTGAGAAATGACAACTGGGCATACCAAAAGTTTCAGCAGACTTGGTTCATCAGTAACAGACAGCGACTGATGAACAGTCAATGTAGTATAACGCCTCTGAAGGAGGCGGGGCGGTGGGGTAGCCTAGTGGTTTAAGCGATCGCTCGTCGCGCCGAAGATTCGGGTTCGATTCCCCACATGGGTACACTTTGTGAAGCCCATTTCTGGTGTCCCCCGCCGTGATATTGCTGGAATATTGCTAAAAGCGGCGTAAACCAAAATCTATGAGGACGGGAGCGGTAAGGTAGCCTTGTGGGTAAAGTGGTCGGTCGTCACGCCAAGGACCCGGGTTCCATTCTCCGCATTGGTACAATGTGTAAAGCCAATATCTAGTGAATATCGAGGTTAAACTGAAATTTCACAATAGGTATGTTGTTCCACCAGGAAAAGCACACAGTCACGCGTGAGTTCACGCCGACACGTAGGTGTCATAATCTTTAATCCTAGTTCACTTCATAGGTTACGAAACATAAATTTTGTTTCTCCTAAAGGAGCCAACAGCACACACAATATTTCAAATCTTCCAGAATGTCCAATGGAATGGTTATAGACAAAGGCGACCTACAGATAGATCAGTTCAGTGGAGTTCTAAACTGATTCTTCCAGCCTATGGCTGATGTTCACAGGGGAGACAATTCGCTCAAATGCTGACTTGTGCATTAATGATAACAAACTTGATGTTAGGTTTCATGAAAGATTTACTTTGTCAACCCACAATTAAATCTCATACAATTACTATTTGCATTCTGACGTTAAACCTACTTTAGTATTTCATCAAACCTTGTTTGGAAGTTGGCAAATCAACTACACTTCAGTGTAATATCTGCATAATACTGTCTAGACATGCCCGTGGATGCCAAGTATTGATGAAAGCATCGCCATGTCCTCCGAGTAAATTAGATCCCTTTCAGTTCACAGCTATCTTTCTGTGCTCTGGTGCATTTCAAACAGCATCAGTTTCAGTTTTAAAATTTCAGTGATGCTACAGTAACTTCGCAAAGAGTAATTATCTTTGAGTTGCTATCTCAAACTCAAACCGATCACGAAGTATTAGCGTCCAACATATATCTTGCTGACTTGGTCGAGTATTTTGAAGTGAGTGCTCCGATGGAAAAGCATCTCTGCCATAGCGTCTCCCTGGGGTCTTTCCAAACCAGGACTAGCTTCTGACAGAATATTTCCAATGAATGGCAGGTGATTCAGTTGACATACATCAAGCATTATATTGGTTAACCATCGTCAGTCAAACGTTATCGTATTTACTGATACCCCAACATTAATTTAAGATACTGAGTCCGGTAAAGATGGGTCCAACGGGAAGTATTAGATATGAAATGTTACTACTTGACACAAGTCATAACTGGAAATTACATCATAGCTACGTCAGGACTATCAAGAACTAAGGGTTTCGCCAACGTCCATGCCAAAGACAATAAACACATAAGCACATCGGTGCTGAAGACATAGGAAACGGTTTGGGTAAGAATTACTGGCCGTATACTTCCCTTTATATAAAAATCCGCCGAAGTAAACTAAGTGATGGAGTCATTCTAACCCGAGTTAGATTGAGACACAAGAAAGCTGTTTACAAAAGTATTATAGGTAAGGGTATTTCAGAAATGTATGGCACTAAAAACTGCAAAAGCAAAAAACCGGAAAATCCATTAGAGGAGATTTTAGGCCTCGATATAATGAGAAATCGAATCCTAAGGGAAAAATATTTTTTTCAAAATATGCATGATCCATATGTATATACTTCCACCCACTCTCTCGGTGACCAGCAACCTCTCTGTGTCTTCCAAACTATATAAGTTGCCCATCCAACGATTATCCAACATACTTGCTTCGGACTACATGAAGGTACTGCTTACGAGATCGTGTGGGCATTCTATACTGATGCCAATAATGGTTGTCACCCCCTTCGATTTGTTTAATTGGAGAGGGGTGGGGGTGTGAGGTTTGTGGGGGTTTGGGTGGGGAGGGGTGACAACCATTATTGGCATGAGTATATGATCTGTTCTCAAAGCAAGGCCAGTGTACAAGCACGCCCTGAGAGACTGTATATTGAGGTCACCCCCACATCAGTGTATCAATGATCAGCTGTTTTCACTGACACACTGTATCATCAGTAGGGCTGTGTATTGGCAAATAAATTGTATTGCAATATATTGCGATTCAAGTACCTTACTGCGATACGTATTGCGATATATTGGGAATTTAAGCGTTTGACAGTGAGTGACACTAATTGTGCATGTCAGTCCGATTTTCTACATTATAAGTCCCTAAACATATATGCCATGGTTCAGCTAACAGCAATCTCAAACTAAGATAGCATAGTTTCTTGTTTATACAATTTATAGTATTATATATGTTCTTTAACCATGCAGTCCTAATCATTGTAGGGGCGGTGGGGTAGCCTAGTGGTTAAAGCGTTCGCTCGTCACGCCGAAAACCCGGGTTCGATTCCCCACATGGGCAAAATGTGTGAAGCCCATATCTGGTGTCCCCCGCCATGATATTGCTGGAATATTGCTAACAGCGGCGTAAAATCAAACTCACTCACTCACTCTCCTAATCATTGTAACTGACGATTTTGCCTGCCAGACCATTAGAACTGTTCCACCGGTCTCGACCACACCATATTTGTGGTTGGAGCCGGCTAATGGAGATCGAGACGTTACTGAGCGGCATTTGTCCCGAAGACGTGGGTTGTCTGGTCCAGACTTAACCAATTACAGCCCATTGTGATGTTGACGTGATGGTATTGTCTGTACAACCGTCACTCACGTTGGAAATGCAGAACGTGTCCTCAAGAAAGCCTAAACGGGAAAAGACTGGTGCTAGTGTGAGTGATTATGAAAGAATGGAACCCGTTACTGCAACTGGGCAAATCAGCAGTACACGATTTTATCATTATCACATGAAATCTCTACTAAACACAATGCCATGTATGGTACCAACTACATAATAAGTTTGTGTTCACAGATTTTTATCAAATATACTACTCACACTTCTATAAGGTTCACAAAAATTCACAACTTTACTTAAACGTAGATTTATAATATGAAATTGTATCCATTTACAACCGGATACATAATAATATTATGGTAACCCCTCTTTAAGCAGACAGCGACTGTATTCTAACCTTATGCACTTGATACATGACCACTCATAAAAATGGTTTTCATGGCGCCCATCAACCATTTCGCAAATCATGGAACGAGTCATTGACAAATAAGCAACACCTATCAATAGCAGGTATGGGATCCACAAGATGCAGTGACATACTGAAACCTAGGAACCATGCTTACAATAAGCTTAGATATTTATACCAAATTTGATCCCACATTATAGTTTTCTGTTGAATCCATGATTTGATCCTTAGCAAAGTGTGAATAGTAGTTATATCAGAGCGTGTGCCACCCCTCACACACACCTGCAAATGTATATCAGCTGTTCAACTAAAGAAAACACGACAACATGTGGTACAGGTGTGTGTGAGTGTGGGGGGGGGGAGTATGTCATCATAGTGTCATTGATGCGTCAGATTAGAAACGTCCTCACTAACCTCTTGAAAGCTGTAAATTCCCAAAGCCTTAACTCATGTGACCCAAAACCTTTTCTGCTGGAGTCGAATGGCGCTCTTTCCAACCTTCGAAGAAGCTTGATCGATTGTAACTCAAACGGTGTGAAATCTTGGCTGGAGCTGCTGGAACACTGCTCACCAGAAAGGAAAGGTATATATTTGGAAGGTTAAACCTATCAGTCCTGTCACATATTCTTGTGATGTCACTCTTAGATCTAATTTTCACCTTGGATCTAAAAATGACAACTTTCAGGCGATGGCATAAGTATAAATAGACACAGAAATGCAAAGCAGCAAATATAGCCCCTTGGATTACTTATAGAATAAAAACTGTTTAAATTACAGAACCTCCAGCAAATATCACACCTGGAAGAGATTAAAATGTACGTAATATGTATCCCTGAAGATCCGGGTTAGAATTGGTTTTCAGCAACCCTTGCTTGTTATAAGAGGCGACTAACGGGATCGGATGGCCAGGCACGCTGACTTGGTTGACTGACCGATGTCATATAACTGAAATAGTGCTGAATGCGGCGTTAAACAACAAAAAAGATGTAATGTGTATTATTCATAATGCTCCAACAAGTATGACGTAGTATGTGTGACCCATGTACTATGAACATATCGGTTGGCGTGGATATTAAAACAACTATTCTAAATTAGTATGTACTAATGAAATTATATATGCAAAAAATATGAAGAGTGCTGAGCACAAACATCTGACAGCGGTTGGGTAGCCTAGTGGTTAAAGCGTTCGCTCGTCACGCCGAAGACCCGGGTTCGATTCCCCACATGTGTACAATGTGTGAAGCCAATTTCTGGTGTCCCCCGCCGTGAAATTGCTGGAATATTGCTCAAAGCGGCGTGAAACTGAACTCAGGCCAAACAAAAAAAAATGTTGTGGTTCCGATTACACCTCTTCAAAATTTAGGGTAGGTAGGTAGGAATTCGTTTTTTCACATTTTTTAGAAGGAAAGTACGAACAAATAACACATTTATCAACTAGTAATTGTTAATTCAATAAAGCTTGCGGCCATCATGTTGACTTTCTCTGTCAGAATGACCAATGTCCGTTGGTGCCAGGAAAAAACAATGGTATCTGAAAGCTTATTTTATTCATACCTCTTAAAAAAAACTAGGGTCGGCACCAGAATTCAAGGATCGGTCGGGTAATCGGAACCACAACATTTGTTAGGCCTCATTCACTCACTCATGCACCGAGGAAGAAAGGGCTCAGATCATGCATCCCTTGACGTGCGTAAGATCTTGTCGTCATTTTGGTTTAATTCCACAATTCCGGCCAGAGAGATGCAAGCTCCTACTCACATGAACTATTGCATTGTCATGGATTTGTGCTCCATGTGCATCAAGTTTTCTTAGCACGACCATCTCAAGCTGCACCTTTCACAAGGTCATCTCGACACAGTTGTAATTACAAATACTCAATATCATTCGGAAAGTGGTTCAATGTAACATAAGTGTCTAAATGTAGTTGGTAGTGCTTATGCGATAGTGTTGTTTTTTAACGTAGAGATCAATAATAATACATGAGGGCCTAAAGAACACTGACCAAGGAAACCTGTAACATCTCATCAGTTCTATATTCTCGGGGCGATGGAATAGTCTGTGAAAGTATTAACTATTCACACAGGAGTCCGTTCATTATGACCCCATAAAGCCGGCAGAGCTATACTTGACTCCATTGACCTACACGGCCATTACTCGGAATTCTATCAATCTGGGTACCTGTAACTTTTTATCCGTTGACCAGGGTCCCCTTAATCTGTATTCCATTAATTTAAGCCCTGATAACCTGTTCTCATTAATCTGGGTCCCTTTAATCTGAACTAAATTTATCGGGTTTCTTCAGTCCTACTCTCGGTTAATTTGACCTCATTGATCTGTTAATGTGGACCCAATGAATTTAGACACCGTTGATTTGGGCCCGTGAATCTAGACTCCGTCAACAAATGAAACCTATTCTAAAGCAACAACTTACAGCATTTTGAAAAATCCATTTCTCAATTTTGAACCATACCTAAATTTTCTTTTAACTTGTTAAAATTTCGAACTTTCAATCATTTTCTTCCAATCGAGACATGTAGATGGCGATGTATCCCAGTAAATGATAGAAAGTGTACAATGTGTAAATTAAATGATATTGGTGACGAATTTCATTATTTATTTATATGTCCCAAACTAGAAGTAGAAAGAGAAAAACATATTCTCAAGTATCATTATATCAGACCAAACATGTATAAAATGAATATCCTATTTACCACCAAATAAGCTAGGAACTTTAAGAAAACTTTCAATTTTTTGTAAAATAATTGTGGCCTTATTTAAGAAATAACTGCAATAACTTAATATGTAACTTGCTTGATGTACATTGCACCTATCATACCGTTTGTATATAACTTTATGTTGTATGTTGTATAAATGTAAATATTGTTTATATACCTCTTATGCTGCAGTTTTCTGCCTTTCGGTTCACACCCGGACTGTCGAATGTTTTATCGAATACACACCCGGACTGTCGAAAAGCAGTGGAGCGCGGCAATGCTGAACACTGCTCTAATAACACCAGGAGTGTCGACTGTCGAACATGAACCTGCGAATAGCAGAAAGACTGCGCTAATCCGCTCTCCTCTAATTAACGAGGGAGAAGACATGAGTGCTATTGTTGTTGAAATGAGAAAAGAGTTTGAGTTTGAGTTAACTATATAGATTTGTCACATTTCCTTCTCAATGATACAGGCGGAAGTACACAACTGTTGTTGTTGAAATGAGAAAAGAGTTTGAGTTTGAGTTAACTATATAGATTTGTCACATTTCCTTCTCAATGATACAGATACAGGCGGAAGTACACAACTGTTGTTGTTGAAATGAGAAAAGAGTTTGAGTTTGAGTTAACTATATAGATTTGTCACATTTCCTTCTCAATGATACAGATACAGGCAGAAGTACACAACTGTTGTTGTTGAAATAAGAAAAGTTAACTAGATTTGTATTTGTATGTGTTGTTGAAATGAGAAAAGTTAACTAGATTTGAATCAGATTTGTCACATTTCTTCTCACGGATACATGTGTAACTATATAAGCTAGGTAAGTAACATAAACGATGTCTATATCAGCTATATCATGTTAAAAACACCCCCAAACCATTAATAAACCAACTACTAAAACTTTATGATACATCTTGGATAAACGGTCAAATACCAAAAGCCGGGAAACACTCCCTTATACCCATACACAAACAAGGCCAAGACGTAAACAAAGCCGAATCATATCGGCCAATATCTCTAACATCTAACATATGCAAAACCATGGAGGGTATGGTTAACAACCGCCTCACACAATATCTTGAAACGCAAAATGTATATAATACAACTCAATTAGGCTTTCGCAAAAAAGGGGCACTTCTAAATTTTGTATCAGCCTTTCTAACAGACAGAGACTTTAAAGTCTCCATAGACCATCAAATCTGATGATATATTCAACAACCTCCGTAAAAACATAAACAAATCCCAGTTTGCCGACGATGGAGCAATATGGGTTAATGAAAACCAGCACTTAACGTGGAACAAACACACTCAATTCATACAAGAAAAATGCTAGTCAGATCTCAACATTATTAAATACCTATCACATAGTAAATGGGGTAGCAACAAACTAAATTACTCTATGGCTGCGAAATATTTCAAGATGTGGCACAAACACCAATTCCAAGCACATTCTAACAAACCCCAAATTAATTAAACCACTCATTAAATATCTCATTCATACAAAATTATACCAAACAATCTAGCAAAAAAACCAATAACACAATAATTCCACTTAAAAATTCGACAAAAAAGAGGAGACATATGCCCGAGCATGCCCGAATAACAAAGTGGCCACAATAAAGAATGTACTGTATAACGTATTTTGTTTTCCTTAATGCCCGGAGCGTCGAACGCCATAGTGTTAACGCCTAATTACCTCCTTACGTAATACCCGAAACATCGACAGTCCGGGTGGACACCTAAAGTTCAGTCCAGTTCAGTTAATTAGGACCCAGTAAATCTACATCCTGCTAAATTGGACACTATCATTCAGGAATCCGTTAATCGCATTACTTAGCACGCCGTTAACCTTGACCCCATTAATCTGAAGGCCGTACATCTCGACGCCGTCATTCTGGGCCTCGTTAATCCTAGAACATGGTTTCCAGGATATCGCCGTTGAAAGGCGCTGTGCCCCCACTGTGCCAACTTTTGTAAATTAGGGGATTAAGAGTGTAAAGTTGGCATGGGGTCTGGTGTAGATAAAAAAGGACATAAGCAACTTTATGGTTTATATTTTTTACCATTTTACAATATTTTTCTGAAGGGCTGAAGGGCATTCTTCAGAGTTTGAAGTCTCTGATCTAACTGCCCATATTTCCTTCCTTTAGGTCTCTGTTTGCCGTTGGCAGTCAGTTGCATGATTGTTGCCGCAGAGTATGCTTGTTAACACTTGAAGAAGTCCACTAATTTAAAAATGTTAGATGAGGTGTATGGATGTAATCTTTGAGTGCCACAATTCGACATGGTTTGTCGTACGTGGACCCTGTGTGTGACACTTGGTGATGAGTCCATGATGGGTGTTCATTTTCTTAAAATTCATCAGTTATCAAACATTATTAGGAGCTGTTATTAAGAGTAATCTATATTAGTTCATCTTACCATTCATAACACTTAATATATAATCAATGAATATAACACCATACATAGACAGTGAGTGAAAGAGTGTAGTTTTACGCCGCACTCAGCAATATTCCAGCTATATGGCGGCGGTCTGTAAATAATCGAGTCTGGACCAGACAACCCAGTGATCAACAGCATGAGCATCGATCTACGCAATTGGGAAACCGATGCTTGACAACCAAGTCAGCGAGCCTGACCACCCGATCCCGTTAGTCGTCTCTTACGACAAGCATGGGTTACTGAAGATCAATGCTAACCCGGGTCTTCACGGGTCCATACATAGACATACCATATCTATGACATCATTGCCACGAGGTATTGTGGACATGATGAAAACAGTTTAGAACTCTGTAAGCTGTGCAGCCATAAAATACCATCCGAGTGAACCCGCGTCTCTGAATAACGAAAACCGGTTTGTGTAATTTCTCCCACATAAGAGTCACGACACCAACATCTCATCTGTTTGTGATGATAAGAAGAGTCCCACAACCTCTCACAGACGACCACAGTGGGCAAACCAACGCAACAGAATAATCATAATGATAATGCACTACATACATGAGCGTGGGTGGTATAACAACTGTTCCAAACCTGCTAAGCAATTTCCAGTTTTAATTGTCAAATGCATTAGACATGCAAAACGCAATTACAACGGCATGGCAACGGGACAAAACAATAACAGTTATGTTGACTGCTATTGATTGAAAGATCAAGTCGACGTTAACCGTGTGTAGCGTCTTGTCGGGGCCGGGCGGTGGGGTAGCATTTAGGTTAGAGCGTCCGCTCGTCATGCTGAAGACCCGGATTCGCTTCCCCACATGGGTACAATCTGTTAAGCCCGTTTCCTGCGCCCCCTCGGTATTATTGCTGGATTATTGCTGAAAGCAGCGTAAACCATACTTACCCTAATGTGGGCACCGTGACTAAAACTGATAACTTGTGTTATTCTGGATAAACCACACCATGGATATAACTGATAAAATATGTTATTCTGGATAAACCACACCATGGATAAAACCCCACGATATGTTATTGCCACGCTGAAAATAAGCATTGTCTGCGGTCCACACATGTTGATGCCTCTGACACAGGGCCTGGTCGTTGCCGACGCCTCAGTTCGATATGCAGAGTTGTGTCCCTTAGGCGTGGCAGAAACCTATGATCGTATTCGAGTTCCAAATTCGCCCTGATAATGTTTCTAGTATTGACAGCGGGTCCTGTGTTTCAAGAAAGTAGTTAACGTGAAAGACCTTAGACACTTAGGTCGGCTGACTTAAATTTGATGCACCCTCATGTCACTCAAATACAGATCAAAGACAAACTCACTCACTCAGAAGTGACACACTGTTCTCGTGATGTTCTACTGATTTGACATGGCGGTCACGTTTACTAGCAGTTAAGAGTGCTTGTCCAAATTCTTGCAAAGTCTAGGATTGATTCATCTGCTGTGCCAACCGTCTTCCAGTCTCATCCCAAATGTGTCTTGTTACAGGGCAGCCAGTCCATCACGTCAACACCGGCGTTACGTAACGCTTCGGAACTACAGCATTGGGCGCAGCGTTGTCATGTTGATATGTCAATCCTGGACCGTGCAGCTGCATTAGTGGCAGATGGATCAGGGTCAAAATATGGTCCCAATACTGTATGGCAGTAGGATTCCCTGGACGATAATCAATTGAGATTGACCGTTGGCACAAAATTCTTCCCAAATGATTACGCATCCCCCTCCTAGTCTGTCGACCACATGGACGATTCCCCCAACCCTGCTATCGACAAGACGCTGTATGAAGAGTGATTCGTCACTGAAGACAATCACTGCCACGGAGGCGGTGGGGTAGCCTACTGGTTAAAGCGTCCGCTCGTCTCGCTGAAGAACCGGGTTCGATTCCCCATATGGGTACAATGTGTGAAGCCAATTTCTGGTGTCCCAATCCGTGATATTTCCGGAATATTGCTTAAAGCGGCGTAAAACCATACTCGCTCACTCACTCACTCACTCCACTGCCTCTGGTTGAATATGCCATGACTTAACGTACATCTTGAGCACGATGAAATTGTGTCAGTTTAGATCCTGTGTGTCTACTTCGGATAACGTCGGTGCGATATTCGATTCCTTTTGGTCTGTGTTGCCACTCTACCTCTCACTAACCGTCTGTTAGTGGAGATTACAGGCACAAATCCGTTGTGATGATGACGTAACCTGATTTGTACGTCATCTTACTCAAAATATGTTTAAATATGTTTATGTATCGTCTACATTTTGCAATTGTGTCAGATTTTGTTTTTATTTTATGAGAGTTATAAACGTAACCTGATCTGTACGTCATCTTGGTGAGACGTCACATCGCTAGGCCTTGAGTGATGTACAACGGTGCCCGGCAGCTGTGCACGGGTCCTCAGACGGTGTATTCACTGAGGACTACAGACCAGGGCACGTGCAGCTGATTGTGAAAAATCACATCCCATTCGGTCGCCAGAACTGCACCACATTTTCACCATTTTGAGGTTCTGGCTTCTAGACCAGCGAGGCTTCCCAACCACCCTAGTAGACTTTCCACCCGTGAAGATCCCAGTTAGAACTGATCTTCAGTAACCCCTGCTTGGTGAAAGAGGCGACTAACGGCATCGGGTGGTCAGGCTCGCTGACTTGGTTGACACATGTCATCGTATCCCAGTTGCGTACATCGATGCTCATGATGTTGATCACTGGATTGACCAGGTTTACAGGCCGCCTCCATATAGCTGAAATATTGCTGAGTGCGGCGTTAAACAACAAACCAACCAACCAATCGTGCAAATGCTGCAACGGATTGTCCAACAGCCAGCCTACCCATGACACGTTCACGTTGTTCATTTGTGAGTCACCCGTGAAGGTCCGGGTTAGAATGAACCTTCAGTAACCCACGCTTGTCGTAAGAGGCGACTAACGGGATCGGGTGGTCAGGCTCGCTGACTTGGTTGACACATGTCATCGGTTCCCAATTGTGCAGAGCGATGCTCATGATGTTGATCACTGGATTGTCTGGTCCAGACTCGATTATTTATAGACCGCCGCCATATAGCTGGAATATTGTTAAGTGCGGCGTAAAACTGAACTCAGTCACTCACTCATTTGTGAGTCGCGGCATACTCGCCATTACGTTAAACTTGCGATCTTAATGCTTTTTCCAATTTAGTAATGTCTGGGTGGTAGCATTCCGATACACATGCGATCGCTGAGGTGATTACGTTACTCGCCGCCGAGTGCTATGTATAGGGATACCACGATACATCGATACTTCGATACATCGATACTTTTTTCTAAGACGATACAATTATCGATACATTCAAAACTGTATCGATATTAAGTTTTGAAAGTATCGGTTTAAATATGTTTATGTATCGTTTACATTTTGCAATTGTATCATATTTTTTTATGTTATGAGAGTTATAAATGATTATTTTTCAAGCACAAAGATGTAAAATTAGAACTTTTTAATCTCTGAGAATAAAAAATTATGATCTTTCCATGGACAGTTATGAAATATGTAATATTAATGTTCAAAATGTAACTAAATTTACGCAATAATGCAAAAATAGGTATCGTGATACGTATCGAATCGTGACATGGGTATCGAGATACGTGCACATGTCGATTCATGAAACTTATGTACCGTGACATCCCTAGTTGTGTATCATGCTATTTATCACGTTTCATTGCCAAATCTTTCGTGTCTGTCGCCAAGACCATGATAAAACAGCCTATATGCCATTGCTGTTGGCATGACATAACAAGACACTACAAGAATTACCTCCCTTATAATTATTATCAATAACGTGGGTGTCAAGTTTCTAATTTTGTTGAGTATGTAAACAAAATTCAAATAATACAAACTAAACTTAGAACGATGCTGAATCTCTAGGCAAACTTAGAATGTTGCTGAGGCAACGCATATTTGAATACTAGAAGCGTAAAGGGAGTCAATGTTAATTTATTCTCGGAGACAAACTATTTTTCTTGGCTCATTGTGTGTTGTCATTCTAAGAGCACACATTGGCCGACGTTTCCAGGAAGGTTCTCCTAGTAGTGGCATTAAGAGCATGATGGAAACCAATGAAGAGATGAGGGGAGACGACATCAACAGCTACATAGGATCAATCCTTGTCGTAATCGTCGATTAAATACAAATTTACAGTGTGACTGCCAACCCCGTTTTGGGACGCCAATACAAGTGAAATGTCTGCTGCCTGGAGAGATGGCTACCCTCAATTCACAGGCCGCTATGGTGTAGCTATCTCACTGCAGCGTAAATACAGATATATTTTGAAATCAGCTGTGTTTAATTACAGAAATTCTGCTGCTGTTTATTACTAACGGAATACAATCATGACGTCATGAACACAGTGAGGGAATTTTTCATGTCTCGACTCAAACAGCTAAAATTATAGCTGACTCTGCAAAAATGACAATGCTACTGAGCTTATGATGAAACTCGGGGAAGTCATTCTACCCAAAGCAGCATCAACCCCGTTTAAATATATGGAAAGCAACGGTCTTGATTTTTAGACGAATTAGATTCCGTTTGGTGTAAAATTTGCAGTGAAAATTATATAAATTACTGATACACATGATGACACCAAGACATAGCGTTCACGAATAGAACAAGTTTTGTTCAGTCCTTCCAATTAATTGCAAACTGATACAAAATCACTTCAGTTAAATATACCAAAGTTCCAGGCCAATCACATTTCTTCAATACCAGCAAACACACGTCATGCAAAGAAGGCTTCAGGTGGTAGTTTTTGATGTTACCGGAAGCACGAAGGCGGCGGAACGTCACGTGATTACATATGTCACATGACCAGTGCGTCGGCGACAAGAGCAAGTTTGACAGTGGTGTGTGTTATTAAGAAATGAGAAGATCGGACTGACGGCCACTGTGCGCACTTGTAAATAAGTCCTCCCGGTTGCTGCAGAAACTGACGAGTATTGAACACTGCAGACTGGCTTCGGGAGAGAGAGGACACACTGGCTGAACATCTTAATCGGGCAACTTCCAATTTTCACATCCCTGAGTTCAATCCCAAGGAATACCCACGTGTATTGCTCTCTTTTCACCGGGGAAAAGGTAATTTAATCTTATTCAATTTTTATCGAAAGGGAAATTGAGATATTTGGATTTTGCATTTAAACAAATTGTTTGATATGTTAACCTCATGTCACCGAAAATTAGTTGGTATTGCTATTCCGTTTTATTTAATCGATTGGGTTAAAACGAGGTCCTCGACTTCAAACATATCGCAGATACTGGGGTCTTGAAGGTGAGAATATTAAACTCCGGAAATTGGTTCTGGGTTGCGATTAATTGCCCTTCTTGACAAAAAACAAACTCAATACAAGACGCTAAACTAACTCTTTTTTTATATTCTTAATGTGTGTCCATGACGAACTGTTTGATTTCCACTCAGATTTAAACAACCTTAGGATTCATTAAATCTTTAAAAGCATTTAATGTTTAAAGAAGAAAGTCCAGATCCCAGAAAAAACTACTAATTGAAAGACGATCTTAAAGAGAAATATGTGTTAAACGCGTTCCTTATTTCAGTGGGTTTTGTTCATATTAGGTTAGTTTTGTTCCCTGTTTTGTTCACAGTGCATCAGAACATCCAATGACTATAATAACTAATGTCCGGTGTTCTTTTTAGTTTATATCAGACTGGGCGTGCGAGCCTCAACAACTAAACGAACATCTATGATGAAATCACCTCAACACCAATTTAAATCAAGCATTATGAAATCCCATAACGTCGATCTGAAATTTGAATTTTTAAAATGTTTTCAATCTCTTTGAAAGAAATTAAAAAGTAGCTGCTCTATATGAACATAGGCGATCATCTCAAACAATGCCATGGGTATTAGAGAACGTTTGCCGATTTTCAGGCTCTTCGAGATAATTGTAACAAATTCTCCAAACATTATCTGAGAAAATACTTCTGCATTATTCACACATTACGCTCTGCTTTCGTCTTGTTTTACGTAACGTAACATCAAAATACATCAATATAATGGGAAAAGCACGTTAATGAACGTAGAATGCTTAAGTGGTTAATTGAAGCCCACCATTAGCCTGAAAATCTGTTCGTTGAAGATGAAAGATGAAAAAGCCTTTGTTGTTAAGAGTGATATTTTCCTTCTGTGAAATGTGTTCGTGAATTGATTGACAGGTGTCATTTTGCCATATATTACTCGCATTAAACACCTGCCAGATGGTGGGTACAGCTTGTGCTAACTGTATTCGTTGTATTCTAACGGTACAACCCCTATTGTCGGTCTCTTGCTAGGTACTCGTGTAAGTGAATTGTTGTTTATGTCATGTAAGCAAATAGGGCAAGGTTGCAGCGATGGAAATGTGGATAAGAACATAATGTATATGTATGAATCAGTGCACAATGGTCACATGCCAGTGATCAATCGGTCTTCTACGGCACATTTTGTCAACTAAGAAACAGTTATTACAAGTAATGATTAGTTCTAGAGTTTGTGAGTTTAGTTTTACACCGCAATATTCCAGCAATATCAGAAATGGGCTTTGTACCAGTATGGGGATTCGAACCCGGGGTGACGAGCGAACGCTATAACCAGTATGTTACCCCACCGCCCCTATCTCTTCAGAGCTAATGTTGCGACAAAACAAGTTAACATACATAGTATAACAACCCGTGAAGGTCCGTTTTGAGCATGTAATTATTGTGTATATTTTTGTGAACTGTGTATATATTCATTTTGAGACAGTTTGGATGTATGAGAATTTTCTGCGAGATAATAAAGTTATATCTTTTTCTTAATATTAGACGTTAACGGCCGCTTCCGTCAACGTCAATAATTCGAATTATCTCCCTTTTCGAGTCCTCGAGAATTGGCCTTCAGTAATCCATGCTTGTCGCAAGAGGCGACTAACGGTATCGCGTGGTCAGGCTCGCTGACTTGGTTGACACGTGTCATCGGTTCCCAATTGTGCAGAGCGATGCTGATGATGTTGATCACTGGATTGTCTGGTCCAGACTCGATTGCTTACAGACAGCCGCCATATAGCTGGAATATTGCTGTGTGTGGCGTAAAACTAAACTCACTCACATAATATAACATTTATATAACAACCGTAGTGATAAGATTTACATGGGATGCTAAAACATATCTACAGTATAAAAGTGAAAAGGAAATTAACGAGACTCACAGAGGAGAACCGTTTCATTATACATGCATTAACCAAGACAGCATCGGGGCCTTTTGTAATCCTGTGATTAGAAAAATCGAATGGTTTGTCATTTCTTTTGAGACTATGTGTGGTCGGTCAGTAAAATGTGGAGTTTGACACTTGACAACCAATGATTGAAAGTCTGGGCAACATTCCAGGATGGCATACAGTCATACTTTTTACCGAGCCTGAGTCACTCAGTTTTGTCGTAGAACATGCATACATGTAGGTTATAAGGGAGGTTACTCGGTGTCCACACGACGGAGTGTGTGTCCATGAAGACCTTTTCTGTTGTAATATTACATAACGGCTTGTAACCAGTCCGTTAACTAGTGGTTGACAGCACGAGCGACGAGCCACGCCGTCGAGCCATGACACAATCAGCCGCAGTTACAACGTTTCCCCTTCAGTGTCAGTCGCGCGCATGATATTATAGTGGGGAATCCCCTCCGAGATACAGTAGTTTCAAATTAGAAGACTTTACAAGTAGATGTCATACTCTTGGCACTGTGAGGTTTCAAATGAACGGTCTAGTTGAGTCAATTTTTCGTAAAACGTAATTTACGTGCATGTATGGGTCTACGTATCTTAGTTGTTATATATATGGTGAAGGGATAAGCTGACACAACGCAGACTTGCTTCATGAAAATGTCCTCTACTCCTGGCAGAAATATGCTCTGCAAAAATGTCTTATGGCATTTTTGCAAATGGTTCTTGAAACCAATGTGAAAACAAACAACCTTTTACATCGGTATCTTAAGAGTACCACACAGAGTAATCATGTAAACAAATTCAACAGTAAATACTGACAAAGCTTAAATAAAATTTTGCTATGTAACCATCACCTTCACTCAATGAAAATATTTTTCTCTCCATCAATATTAATCAATTTTAGAAGAAAAAAAATATTATTGAATAAAGTTGAAAACCCTCATAACTAGGAAATTATCTAAATTAACATTATTCATGTTTATGTGTAGTGAACAGCAGCAAAAGTTTAGACTCCCTTAAAACTTTCACTCTATGTTATGTATATATATATATGGTTACATCGAAGATTGATTTCTCCACTAACTTGGGGGAACCAACTGCAAACCTTATGCAGCTGAATTGCACGAGGATCATACATCAAATTGCTGAAAAGCATGTGCAAATATCGTGCATGTGAACAACTGCGTTGTGGTGTAAAGTTTTGTTAAGAATTCGCCAATTTTCACTGATTTGCATCATTTACTGAACTCATGACAATAATCATTTCAACGTTACGAATTTGTTTACAATAAATCAGTTCATGTGTAAACAGTACCTTTAAACAGTATGGAATATTTTGCAAAATTTAGTTTAGAACAGTTGCCTGAAGTAAGTGGCTATATTTACACTATTGATTTCAAGGTTTAAAGATGCAGTTGTTACGGTTTAAATGAAACACCATCATGATGCAGCACCCTAGCAGTGTAGTTGGCACTGTTCCAGTTGACATCTTTCAGTGGCATTTTAGAAGTTGGGAAGTACAATATTGATAAACTTTATGGATAACAACTTCTTTTATTACGTGAGTACGACGTTTCGATATAGACTTTTGTACCATTGTTGACTGCTCGGCAACCGTACAATATTCGGTATTCAAAGGTCAACATTCCAGTTGATATCGTTATCTAAAACGTTATAGTCAAACCTTTGTGTCGAACTTACGATTGTCTGTAAGTAAAAACTTTGCCCCTGCGTATTCCTTACATATTCATCATTTTACGGTTGTGTCGAACTTCTGATAACCCGAATTATCTACGTAGGTGCCTTTTTTTGGACTGTATTGTTTAGTTTCTGTACGTGATCGTTGCACTTTTTGCACTGGGTGAAATATTACTGTAAATGATATGTGTTAAATATATATTGAATAAATGCATATTTAAGATATAAGAATTAATTTAACATATCAACATTAAGATACAGATACCTATGTTCAAGTGTACTGTTCTGATCAATGTTAGGAAACCATGTTCTTATTAAATATAATCCACAGAATTCATTCTAATATCATACAAAATTTCTAATAAACGCAGAGTCGATTGAACGAATGTAATAAATATACGTTTAAGGATATCTTGGAGGACAAATGAAATTTATGTTTGCATATAAAGTAAAAGTCCCACAACAAGCGAGCCGCACTCGCCATTAGGTGAGGTGAGGTGAAATTGGGTTTAACGTCGTGCTTGAGAATATTTCGCTCATATGACGACGTGCATGCGTATGTATGTGTATGTGCGGCTGCTTGTACTAGCCCAGACTTAAGCTGATTTTATAGTGCTAGCCCACTGAGATACCATGCCGCAGTTATACTGACTCCGAGCCGACCAGTCCTTGTTGTACCCATTATTGCCGAGCGCCAGACAGGGACCAACAAGTACCATATTTTAACGCCTTTTGGTATGACGCGGCCGGGGATCGAACCCGCAACCTTACGTTCTCCGGGCGGACGCTCTAACCACTGCACCACGGAGGCGGTCCACTCAGCATTAAGGGAACCAAGTCAAAACATTGATTTTACAGCAGTCTCGTTTCCTGCTGACTGGGTTCCGTCCTATTGCGCAACTTAGTACAATAATCAGTCCAATATTTTGAGACCAATTCATTCAACTGGATATATAAATATTAATCAGTATTATTTGATACATCTAAGCACTTGTATATTGCAACACTACGCTCCTTCTAATCCTTGCAAACACGTCGTGCAGCGTTCTCTCTTGTACAGCGTGCTCTGACAAACGGAAATCTGGAAGTCGTGGAAATCTCAAAACGAGGCTTGGCCGCTAAAAAAGTTTGGCGGTCTCGTACGGACTTGATATTATATATTAATTACATTGTGCGTACAAAAA